AGAGGAAACAAATAAAGAAAACAACACAATAATCATTCCACTAGGCTTCGAATCCATGAAAGATGCCGATGAGCGGGCATTTTCACAAACATCCTCCTAAGGGAAATGTCAAGAGCCAACTGGTGCGCTGCCTTATTATACGCATTGTCCTCTAAATACGGCTCATACCCATTCAACAAATCCATACAGGCTTCAATAGTTGTAGTTGGATCCTCTTTCTGAGCCTCAACTAATGCAATAGTACGGGCTTGCCTATCAGCTAAAAATTGCTGAAACAAATCAACCTTTTGAACAGATGTCTCACTGCGTAGGGTAGCACTCTTTGCCAAAACCTCTATGGCCGTGTCAACTGCACTGATGTTCTTGCCCTTCTTCTTGGATCGAGTAGTAGGACCCTGAGACCGTCTGTTTCTATTGTCTTCTGCACTCCGGACTTCATCCGAGTCTCCTGTACCCTCCTCCACCTCTTCCGGTATTGTGGCCGCCCTTTTCGCCGCATTCAAAACATTGACGGCGGTATGTGCATTCATTGACCCCTGTCCAGTAGCAATAGTCCCAAAAAAAATCTGGGAAAGTTGTACAAAGTGCTGTAAACCCCCTTTCTTGAATTTCTTAGCCTCAGGATGTTTCTGACATTATAAAGAAAACAAGAGTAAATACTCATGTGCAATCCAAACACCAATTCAACTCTTTCATATAACATAAGATGTTAAGAACATCAAAACTTACCGCCACATATGAATCCCATACTTCTTTTTCAGCTGTGACAGTGTTAGTCTCAGAATCCCAACCAAATCCTGTTGTTTCAATTAATGCCTTAAACTCCCTCGTGCTACGTCTAAGCCTATTCCACTTTGCTTTAAGCTGGTCTGCTGTGAAATGCTTACCAAACTTAATTGCTATTTCATTAGCAATTTTCATCCACGTTTTTCTGTCCAGAGTGGATGTTTGAATCCCAGTCTTTGACTCTTCGTATATCAGTTCTACATAAAAATCCTCAATTGTGGCCGGCCATTTCGTATTATCGTCCTTATCACACATCTAAAACAACACTTTCATCATTAAAATAAATATCAATTTGTAAAGTATATACACACACAGACCATTAGGGGTGATGGGGGCTGATTTTCAGCCCACATTAGGGCTGATAATCAGCCCTCATTGGGGGCCTCCCTGGCTAGCCCCAAAGGGAGGCCCCCAAGGGTTGATTCAGCCCCAATGGGGGCTGACAATCAGCCCCCATGGGGGCTGATGGGGGCTGATTTTCAGCCCCCATTGGGGGCCTCCCAGGCCAGCCCCAAAGGGAGGCCCCCAGGGGTTGATTCAGCCCCAATGGGGGCTGATTATCAGCCCCCATGGGGGCTGATTGTCAGCCCTGATAGGGGCTGAAAATCAGCCCCCATCCGCCCCAATGGGGGCTGATTATCAGCCCCCATGGGGGCTGATTGTCAGCCCTGATAGGGGCTGAAAATCAGCCCCCATCCGCCCCAATGGGGGCTGATTATCAGCCCCCATGGGGGCTGATTGTCAGCCCTGATAGGGGCTGAAAATCAGCCCCCATCCGCCCCAATGGGGGCTGATTATCAGCCCCCATGGGGGCTGATTGTCAGCCCTGATAGGGGCTGAAAATCAGCCCCCATCCGCCCCAATGGGGGCTGATTATCAGCCCCCATGGGGGCTGATTGTCAGCCCTGATAGGGGCTGAAAATCAGCCCCCATCCGCCCCAATGGGGGCTGATTATCAGCCCCCATGGGGGCTGATTGTCAGCCCTGATAGGGGCTGAAAATCAGCCCCCATCCGCCCCAATGGGGGCTGATTATCAGCCCCCATGGGGGCTGATTGTCAGCCCTGATAGGGGCTGAAAATCAGCCCCCATCCGCCCCAATGGGGGCTGATTATCAGCCCCCATGGGGGCTGATTGTCAGCCCTGATAGGGGCTGAAAATCAGCCCCCATCCGCCCCAATGGGGGCTGATTATCAGCCCCCATGGGGGCTGATTGTCAGCCCTGATAGGGGCTGAAAATCAGCCCCCATCCGCCCCAATGGGGGCTGATTATCAGCCCCCATGGGGGCTGATTGTCAGCCCTGATAGGGGCTGAAAATCAGCCCCCATCCGCCCCAATGGGGGCTGATTATCAGCCCCCATTGGGGCGGATGGGGGCTGATTTTCAGCCCCTATCAGGGCTGACAATCAGCCCCCATGGGGGCTGATGGGGGCTGATAATCAGCCCCCATTGGGGAGGATGGGGGCTGAAAATTAGCCCCCATCAGGGCTGATAATCAGCCCCCATTGGGGTTGATGGGGGCTGATTTTCAGCCGCCATTGGGGGCCTCCCAGGCCAGCCTCAAAGGGAGGCCTCCAGGGGTTGATTCAGCCCCAATGGGGGCTGATTATCAGCCCCCATTGGGGCGGATGGGGGCTGATTTTCAGCCCCCATCAGGGCTGACAATCAGCCCCCATGGGGGCTGATGGGGGCTGATTTT